GCCAAAAAAGACTTTGTGACACAAAGATAGACTAGACTATTGCTTCTTTAAACGAGTAATTATTATTGTTGTTGTAGCAGTAGTACATGTAAGTGTTTGCGTTCTGTTCAAAATTCGGATACTTTAACGGGCTGTAGACAGAGATCTTTTAGTAGCATTAATTTGTAAATGCGTTTTTTTATTTTATTTATTATTATTATTTTTTATTTTATTTTTTTTTTTTTGTAAAACAGATTCCTGTGAACAACTACAAAAGGCAATGGAAATAATAACGGAATAAAATATAAACAAAAAATAATATTTCTGTTTAAATGACATAGCAAACCATAGGGAAACAAACAAGTAAGAATTAGATAAATCGTTGACAAACTGTAGAAAGGGAACCAAGGTGACATCCTTGCGGATTTAGCATTTGTTAATATCACACAGTATTTCGAAATTTTAAGTATCCCTGCTATCTCAACACCGGCTCTCAAATGGTGGATATTTGCAGAAAGCATATTTGCGGATCTCAAATATTGAATATGTTCATTGATTTTAAACCAAAAAATATATTTTTTGAAAGGGATCGTCCATCAATAAAAGTCCAAGTTTTTAAGAAAAAAGTTCAGTCGGAGTTTCGACAGAAATATATCCTTACAATTTTTATGTTTACCTTATTAAACAAGAAAGAACATATCATAAAGATTAAATAATTCCAACTAAAATCTAGTATTAATACTTTGAAGAGAACAGAGAATAAATGAACTATATATTTAAATATTGATTGATAATATTGATCTGATGAAGATATTATGGAAAAATAGACTATTGTCGGGGTGATTCATTTACCCATTGAGGGATAGAGAAAAAATCAAAGAATTGACAAGGAGGTATTGGTCAAGGTCAAGGAAGGTATTGGCCTTTGTTTCTACTCGTTTACAAACCATACAAAACCTCATATTCGGTTTGTTTTTTAACTTTTTCCAAAATTTTCAATTTTAATAATTGTTTAGTTTTTTTTTTTTCATTTTATGTATCTGTAAAGCGAATTAATATTACAACAATTTGTTTGACATATCAATTTGCCTACAGATGGCCTGGACATGGGCTACCTTGTAATTCTTCCATGATACAATACAATATATTCATGAATAAATATATTGACAATGAATAATTTTGAAAAAAATTAAACATATGATTGCATGGCTTTACCTTTTTAATTCTAAAATGGTATGGACATAGATACAATAAAATCTAATATAATTTTGTTTTTAAATGATCAACGTATTTTATTAACGTTATTGTATTTGTAACCGGCTGATGAAGTTATTTTCTATAGCTGTCTGAGCAGTACTCGGGAATTTTGTTAATCATGCCATGGACTTTTAATCGATACATCTTTTCATTGTAGTCAGTCTGTGACGACTTATAGAAATATGAATATTAATTTGGGAAGTTGTCCTTGAATAGGTTGTAGCAAAAATTCTGCGATACATTCAGCAATATCAACGTGTATAACAAATTCTTCAATGTTAAATTTAAATATTGAGGACTTTAAAGAGACCTTGGAATCATGGAAGGATTTAGGGTTGTATTTTAATCTTTTTTTGGTAACAATTGAACAACCTACGATACTCTATGGTATATTTATAATTTATATGTAGGTTCATGCCACAACCAGGAAGGTAGATTTACTTCGTTTAATTGTTAAAAGAAAGTCTGTTGATGGCTTTTTAAGGCAGCCCTTGGAAATCTGTCAACGCAGGTGAAAGAGATTGAACTTCTGAATAATATATCCTGTTACTTATTACTTAAGTCTTTGAAATCGTCATATCTATACATAGATATTCTTCATCTTCTATAATTCCAAATTCGCCATTCATCTTGTTCATCTTCGATCAGACTGAATAAAAACACTCGTTAAGTTTTGTCGGTATTCTCTCTGTATTCGCTCTGTCCGAAACCTAGGTATTCCCTGCCTTACCCCCTGGTAAACATTACCATCGTTCTCCACTCATAAACAAACGTTGTTTTTATAAAAACAACAATAATGGGATTTCGCCTGACGATTTTGCAACAACAAAATACTATGGTATCCCAAACAAGCAAGCCGAACTCTGTTCTATTAATAGACACAGGCACGGTCGACGAAGGGGTTTTTGTTGTAACAGACAAAACAAACTTACATGGTTATGTTACTTCGTTCAGGTTGAACGAAAGCATAACAAAGTGGAGAAAGATGTAAATGTTTATAAGTGCGGTTGTAAGATTTAGAAGATTTTCCAAAAGAATTTTAGTTTTATGTAATTCTTTTGTTCCTCTTCTATTGAGCTTACGATCTCGTCACTTGGGTAAAAAATGTTTTTTGTCATAGAAGTTATTTTTTTAAATAACTTCTGGGGAGAATATCCCAGACAAGAAACAAGGGAACTGATGAGGATTGGTGGCTCTTTCCGAAACCTAGGTATTCCCTGCCTTACCCCCTGGTAAACATTACCATCGTTCTCCACTCATAAACAAACGTTGTTTTTATAAAAACAACAATAATGGGATTTCGCCTGACGATTTTGCAACAACAAAATACTATGGTATCCCAAACAAGCAAGCCAAACTCTGTTCTATTAATAGACACAGGCACGGTCGACGAAGGGGTTTTTGTTGTAACAGACAAAACAAACTTACATGGTTATGTTACTTCGTTCAGGTTGAACGAAAGCATAACAAAGTGGAGAAAGATGTAAATGTTTATAAGTGCGGTTGTAAGATTTAGAAGATTTTCCAAAAGAATTTTAGTTTTATGTAATTCTTTTGTTCCTCTTCTATTGAGCTTACGATCTCGTCACTTGGGTAAAAAATGTTTTTTGTCATAGAAGTTATTTTTTTAAATAACTTCTGGGGAGAATATCCCAGACAAGAAACAAGGGAACTGATGAGGATTGGTGGCTCTTTCCGAAACCTAGGTATTCCCTGCCTTACCCCCTGGTAAACATTACCATCGTTCTCCACTCATAAACAAACGTTGTTTTTATAAAAACAACAATAATGGGATTTCGCCTGACGATTTTGCAACAACAAAATACTATGGTATCCCAAACAAGCAAGCCAAACTCTGTTCTATTAATAGACACAGGCACGGTCGACGAAGGGGTTTTTGTTGTAACAGACAAAACAAACTTACATGGTTATGTTACTTCGTTCAGGTTGAACGAAAGCATAACAAAGTGGAGAAAGATGTAAATGTTTATAAGTGCGGTTGTAAGATTTAGAAGATTTTCCAAAAGAATTTTAGTTTTATGTAATTCTTTTGTTCCTCTTCTATTGAGCTTACGATCTCGTCACTTGGGTAAAAAATGTTTTTTGTCATAGAAGTTATTTTTTTAAATAACTTCTGGGGAGAATATCCCAGACAAGAAACAAGGGAACTGATGAGGATTGGTGGCTCTTTCCGAAACCTAGGTATTCCCTGCCTTACCCCCTGGTAAACATTACCATCGTTCTCCACTCATAAACAAACGTTGTTTTTATAAAAACAACAATAATGGGATTTCGCCTGACGATTTTGCAACAACAAAATACTATGGTATCCCAAACAAGCAAGCCAAACTCTGTTCTATTAATAGACACAGGCACGGTCGACGAAGGGGTTTTTGTTGTAACAGACAAAACAAACTTACATGGTTATGTTACTTCGTTCAGGTTGAACGAAAGCATAACAAAGTGGAGAAAGATGTAAATGTTTATAAGTGCGGTTGTAAGATTTAGAAGATTTTCCAAAAGAATTTTAGTTTTATGTAATTCTTTTGTTCCTCTTCTATTGAGCTTACGATCTCGTCACTTGGGTAAAAAATGTTTTTTGTCATAGAAGTTATTTTTTTAAATAACTTCTGGGGAGAATATCCCAGACAAGAAACAAGGGAACTGATGAGGATTGGTGGCTCTTTCCGAAACCTAGGTATTCCCTGCCTTACCCCCTGGTAAACATTACCATCGTTCTCCACTCATAAACAAACGTTGTTTTTATAAAAACAACAATAATGGGATTTCGCCTGACGATTTTGCAACAACAAAATACTATGGTATCCCAAACAAGCAAGCCAAACTCTGTTCGGTATTCTATAATTTCACTTACTTCAAATTATTTTTCGCTGTGACCAATGGGAAATTGTTTCAGTATTACCCTTGCATGGGGGATTCACCTAATTATCAATTGTTATTTTTCAAATCTTCGTCTATTTACTTGTCAATTTTTTTATTTAAGATGTTTAAAATTAGGAATATTATAAAAAGCCTGTATTCATGACTTTGGATACGTGCATGGACCTTTGCGCTCAGTATTTGTATGTGTGGAAAAAATAAACAAAAATGAAATAAAAATAATCTGCAATTTCTAATTCCTAAAACCATTAAATATAAGTTGGTCTAAAGACTGTGCATCTGCTTTTATCCGCAAAGAGACGTGATGGTCCAAAATTTGAAAAAAAAAATGAAGTGTTAAAGAACAGAAAATACTACTTATGATAGGCAGAATGAAGTGACAGTGTTCCGTTAGTATTCCTGTGGATTCCTCAGGATACTTGTCTGTGGTTGGATTTGTTGAGTGAGTAAGTTCAAGGAAATATCTATTCAAAACAATAACAATTTTAGCTATACCCTAAAATCAAAATAGGGCGGCGTCGATATGGTTTAATATATGCAGTTTAAGGATGAAGAAGTACAAGATCGTTCCACAGTTGATCGTTGAGTTGGTCTTCGAGCGGCGTAGTTGTCATGAAAGGCAACTAACTAACCTGGGATAAATCTAGAGAAAACTCAGCTACGTGATTTAAGTCTTCTCAAAGAAAATTTTTAACGTACGATACTTATTAGTGGATTTCCAGATTTTCGACTGTAAGGTATAATAAACGCAGACTACGCACTACGTCACCCTAAATATTTATATCACATTAATTGGGATAATTAGACCTATCGATGTTAACTAACCTTGGATTAGTATTTCCTACACCTGAAGGAATACATACCAAATGGTTACGGTTGCCACATTTTTCCTTCAAATAATCAGCAGCATATTTTTGAACCCCATTAAGAAGACGTGCTCTTCGCTGTTGAAATTCCTCCACTTTTAAGCCTGGAACTAATTCATCTTTATTTACTATATGAGGGTGAGTTGAATGAACAGGTTGACCAAAGGCCTGATTATTTAGGGCATCCGAGATATTCTTTTCAGCATTTGTAACATTGTTGTATGAAGAAAATTTTGAAATAATCTTCTGTTTGTTTGATATCTGAAAGATATCTTTGGTAACAAAGAACATTTTGATTAAAAGGCCATTTAAATATCCTATTGTAAAATTTTACCTACCAAATTTACGCTGGATTCTCAATAGCGTGAACATTTTTGAGATTACAAATCTACTGCCAGAAACCAGTGCGGTTAAGCAAGAATGAAATAACGAGCGATAAAAAATAAAATCAAAACAAAACTACACACCAGGGTTATACAAATCGAAAATGGACTTAAAGTGACAATACCTTGATTCAATAATACAGGTAACCGCATTAGCCACAGCCGTGAATACGATGAACTATCAGAACATATTTAGAATCATGGTACAATGAATTCAAGGTAGGGCAGAACTACCATATGATTTAAATTTTTTATTTTTCTGGCCTAATATGTCAACTTCATTTGCTTATGTGTGTGTCTTCTTTTCAACAATAAAAAATTGTTCAGAAAATATTCAAATTCGGGTGTTTTCAAAATGCTTATTGCAACGAATGCATCGACAGAATCTACAGTTTTTGTCGCGAAATAAACCATAAGAGATATATAGAACATAATATTGAAAAGAAATTTTGACCATTCATTCAGTTTTAACGGTTTTAAATTATTTATTCAAAATCAATGCAACAAGTTGTTTGCTTTTTTATTGTTTTGATAGTAATTCTGACATTACAAGCCAAACAGGTAGACCTCTATACTTGCAATTTTTTCAAAGTTGACCTACCTTATCTTCATTGTACCATGTTTAGAATCATGCCACAATTACAGAAGATTGAACAAAACTACTCTCTAAATATAATTTTTTCTTTTGGTGCCCTTATTCTGCCAAAACATGCACACATTATGTGTATGTGTGTGTATTGTTTTGAATAAAAAATACAATAATTTGAAATTATTTCAAATTCGGTTACAAAATAAATTCACATTTTCGATGTTAATGTGCAATACATTGTACAATATTGGGATAAAACTGTTACGTCATATTATTCTAGATTCAATCTTGTGGAATAACCCCAAAATTCCATTCTTGTTTCGAAGGTTTTCCCAATATAAGAATTTTGTTAGAAAATGAAAAATAAACAAAACTTACTGTTGCATATTTACGATTTACGAAGTCGATTCGACACTCCAGCACAGAGATGCATTTTTTTAGTTTCTTTGAAGTTGAGCAACCTTTCTTATTGAACCATTTTATAAATGTTAAATGAAAACTTATTAAAATTGATAAAATTTATTGAGAAAGATGTGTTTCTCATAATAACCTATGAACAAAATATTTTTAAATAATTTTTTGCCAGAAGATTTTTTTAATATTTTTGACATTTTAGACGTGGACGTGCAATTAATTCATGCAAACTTGATATAATTGGTAACATTTATTGAGAACACACCACAAAATAACATATGAACAAAATATTAATTTTTTTTACAGAAGATTTTTTTAATATGTTATTCATAGGTGAAATTAATTCAAGCCAAAGTCCAATAAAAAGGTAATGTAGAACTACCAGCTGATTACAATTTTCTTCTAAATATGCCCATAAAAATACAGAAATTCAGCACTGTCAGAATTATTCAAATTTATATGCAACAAGTTGTTTTCCACTATTTAATATTTTCCCCATTTTAAGTGTGAAAAGTGAAGAAATGCCTTGATATGATCTAAACTGTTCCATCTTTCAAATCCATAGAAAAATTGCGGGCCATGCATTAAAGCTTTTAAACCTTTAATGCGTGGCCCGCAATCTACGTTTCTTCCAATAATTGATTTTGAATATATTTTGTTTTTGTTTTCCAGAAAAATAAATACATGCACAAGATTGGCAGAAGTCGGGCACACCTAGAAAAAATTGTAACCAGCTAGTAGCTCTATCTCACCTTTTTATTGTACCACAGTACAAAGCCATGGTAGAATAATATTGGTAACACCAAGTGTTGTTATACAACAAACATAACAGCAGAATAAAATGCCCAAAAATGTAAACAAAACCATTAATTTTAAATAAATTATTTTAATTTCAAAAATGTACATTTTTGGAATTTCAATTTGTAATATATAAAATGCAGAAGATTTGTTCTTATAATAATATACAATATATCGTTACGTTCTTGGATTTTACTTAATCCCGTGTAGACGTTGTTTTATTTCCCAATACAGTTCGTACCAAATAAAACGCGGGTTCTTTCGGATTACGATTATTACAATGATTTTATTCACACAACTTTACTTTGCACTTTACTTTACTCGACGGTTTCAATTCGCGATCTCATTCACAACTGACTAACTGCCTTTCCATTTCCCCTATTTATATGAGCCTCGCCTGTCGCTACAGAAGTTTCTAGACGATCTGGTAACGCCTAGATTACGAACAATCTACCAATGCAACGAACACATACAAACTTACATTGAGTGAACAATAACAACAACACATACACAGGCGAGGGGGTAACAAAGAAAGAGGAATTAAGCGATCATAAATGATGACGTTTAACAAGAATTGTACGTCAGCAACAAAATAGAAAATGAAAGAGGAAATGGAAGGATGTAGAGAAATCTATACAGTAGTTGTTGTTGTGAAGTTATTCAAATAAACTGCGTAGTAGAAATTTACGTTACAATTCAAATTCTTAAATTAACGGAATTCATCTAAATTAACTTAAATTTAAAGTTATATTCGTAACATTGCCCCCCGCTTAAGCCTGTTCGTCCCGAATAGGCACAGTTCCCGTTCCGTAGGGGGTCAGCCGCTCCAAATGTACAACTTTCATCTTCGACCTGGGACTGTCGCTCCTCTGGATGCGATAAACGACGTCATTTATTTTCGTGACAATCTTGTAGGGTCCTTCCCAGTGCGTTTGTAATTTGGGGCATAGTCCTTTCTTTCGTTGTGGGTTGAACAATAGTACCAGTTGCCCTTCTTGAAACCCATCGGTAATTGCCGCTCGATCGTACCTTGCCTTCATGCGGTTGCTAACCATTTTTATTCGATGTCGGACTGCATCGTGGACTTTACTAAAAGAGTTTTGACTGTCTTCATCTTGGTTCACATCGTCGTTTGGGGTAGCACCGAATATCAAATCGCCAGGTAGCTTTAATTCATTTCCGAACAGAACTTTGGCTGGGGTCCGGGATGTGGAATCATGAATGGCCGATCTATAAGCCAGTAAAAACTTGGGAATATGCTCATCCCAGTCTCGTTGGCCACTGTCCACCACTTTCCGTAGATGTTCTTCCAGGGTGCGATTGAATCTTTCCACCATGCCATCTGATTGTGGATGTAGGGGCGTCGTTCTGGTTTTCTTGATTCCGTAGGAGTCACACATTTCCTTGAAGATCGCTGATTCAAAATTCCTCCCTTGATCGGAATGAACCTCAGATGGAACACCATAGCGACAAATCCAATTTCTGCTGAACACATCCACAATTGTCCTGGCTTCTTGATTTGGGATAGCATAAACCTCTGGCCATTTACTGAAGTAATCCATGACCACTAAGACATACCGGTTCCCAGAGTCGCTTGTTGGGAACGGTCCAGCTACATCCATTGCGATTCTTTCAAAAGGGGCTCCTGAATTATACTGCTGCATGTAGCCTCGACTCTTCCGTGTTGGACCTTTAGCTCTTATGCACCTTTCACAATTGGCGATCCAGTCGGCAATGGATTTTTGACAGCCGACCCAGTAGAATCTCTGCTTTACCTTTTCAGCGGTTTTTGCTATGCCAAGATGTCCTCCACTTGGCCCATCGTGAAACTCCGACAAGACATCTCTTATTTTGGAGTCTGGGACGACGATCAAGTTCCGGTGAGATTTACCGTCCTCACTTTCCCATTTGCGATATAGGCAACCATCTATTATAAGTAGACTGTCCCACTGGGCCCAATAGGATTTTAAAAGAGGGCTTTCGGAGGTAATTTCTTTGCGACTAGGTCGTTTGCCCGTTTCTATGGCCGAAATTACTTTGCCCAGAATGGGATCTCTTCGTTGTTCCGTCGACCAATCTTCACCCGACTCAAATTGCAATAGTCGGACATCAACGATATTCTCTTTATTCTCAGCCTTTGAGCAGTGCTTGCATTCTACTTTGCATGGCCGACGAGACAGGGCATCAGCATTACCGTGTTTTCCGCCTTTTCTGTGCTCGATTCTGAAGTCATAACTCTGGAGTCTCTCGATCCAACGGGCTAGTTGACCTTCCTGATTCTTAAACTGCAGCAACCATTGGAGAGCAGCGTGGTCGGTCCTCAGCAGGAAATGCTGGCCATATAGGTATTTGTGGAAGTGTTTAACGCACTCAAGGACAGCAAGCAGCTCTCTCCTCGTCACACAGTAATTCCTCTCAGGTTTCGACAATGTCCGGCTGTAGTACCCGATGACTTTTTCCTGTCCGTCGATTTCCTGGGAAAGGACGCCACCGATGCCGCACGCACTTGCGTCTGTGTCCAGGACAAACTTGCCGCCAGGTATAGGGTATGCCAAAATGGGGGCTCTGCATAGCATGTCTTTGAGCTTTCTGAATGCCTCCTCCTGGTCGTTGCCCCACTGAAACCTCTGGCCTTTTTGCGTCAAACGGTGTAGACAGGCGGCGATGTTGGCAAAATTTTGGACAAATCGACGGTAGTATGTGCAGAGACCCAGAAAGCTTCGCAGCTCATGGAGATTTCGGGGCTGCGGCCAATCTCTGACGGCTTGAATTTTCTCCTTATCCGTCGATATGCCCTCCAGCGTCACGTGGTGCCCCAGGAACTTCACCTCTCGTTGGAAGAGACTGCACTTCTTTGGGTTCAGCTTGAGGCCTGAAGACGAAAGCTGCTGTAGAACATCCTTTAAGTTCTTGATGTGTTCGTCGAAGTTGCGTCCCATGACTATGATGTCATCCAGGTATATGAGGCACGACTTCCACTGCAGCCCTTTTAACACACGCTCCATCAGCCTTTCAAATGTAGCCGGGGCGTTGCAGAGTCCGAATGGCATGACATTGAACTGCCAGAGACCCCCATTTACGCCAAACGCTGTTTTCTCCTTATCTTTCTCGGCGATCTCTACTTGCCAGTACCCACTCTGCAGGTCGAGGGTGGAGAACCATGACGTCACGGCTAATGTGTCCAATGTGTCGTCGATTCTTGGGAGCGGATAGCTGTCTTTCTTGGTGACATCATTCAACTTTCTGTAGTCCACACAAAATCGGGTGCTTCCGTCTTTCTTCTTGACCAAGACCACTGGGGAGCACCATG